TGTTTTATATTCTTTTATATTTTCTGTTTAAGGTATTTTTTGAACATTTTATATTATATTTTATGCATGATTTAATCTTTTAATCACAACAGAAAAAAAAAACATTTACCTAGCTTTTAAATACAACAAAGATCCATTTTCGTTTATCTAAATATCAAAATGTTTCACCTATATATAGATGAAAATCTTTTGCAATGAAATTACTTTTAAATAAAATTTATATTGTGTGATAAGCGACGTGATCTAAAATTTTAAATATACTGCATCGCACGCTAAAACGTTTAATGAATATACTAATAAGGTTTAGTGGTGCCATAGCTCCATTATAACAGCAAAAGAAGATAAGAGTTTGAAATATTAAAATTTCTCATGTTATATTCTCAACTTTCGACCATATATTTTCAAAAAATTTAATTTCTATTATTTTTTTAATGAGCAAGAATTTTAACATTATTGGAAATTGATATCGTCCCTGAATGAAATGTTATGAAAATCCATTCTAAATGTGTAACTACAATCATTATATATAATATTATACTTACTTTAACAATACATTTAAAAATTTTCTATTACATACAAACACATAAAGTCGGAAATTATATAAAAAAAGTCCCTAATCTTAAAAATTATACTTCATTTACATTTAAAGATACGAAAATAAAAACAAAAAATTAAGTTAAAAACGTTATCTGGTACTGTTATGATAACAATACATGTTAGATTAGAGATTAAAATTTCATATACCTATGTGTAAGGATATTGAAATCTTTATTCAAAAATACAAGAATTCCAACAAAAAAGGTTACTTTTCATATAACTTATTTTATTGTCGTTATTTTTTTATTATTATTTTCTTTTTTCATTTTATTCACATACATATACAAAAAGTTTCTTTTTTCTAAAGAATAAATTAAAATCGAAATTGACCGAGAATTTTTATTGTTACGAATTATACATACTTTGTTTCATATGTTTTATTGAATTATTATTTAAATTTCGGGTTTATAATGTTAAGAAATAATAATCTTTTAAATTAATTACAGTTAAAAAACTTATTTTTAATTATTTTTTTCTTTAATAACCTTTCAATTCAAATCAAGAATCCTAATTATTCGATAATTAGCAAATAAAGAGTAAACAGAAAATTACTTGAAGTCCAAATTTGCACGCATGAAAGAGAAAGCAACCCAGAATTTTCAGAGCATTTTCAAAATTTGAAGCTATAGTACAAATGAACTCACATGATCAAAGAGAAGAACGATTATATTTCGAATAAGACAATGTGCAGTAACAGAATAAAATTTCTTAGAAAGTTTAAAATAATTTGAAATAAAGAAGTATTGAGATTGTAAAGTTTAGTAAAGAATAATAGACAAAATGAACAACTAATGCCTCTAAATAGCAATTGTTATATAAAAATTTATATTCTGTATCAATATAGGTACACCGAGTTGAAATAGGTTAAACCTAAATGAATACTAGATATTTTATCCTCAAGCGAAATCAAGTTTTTAAATCAAATAAAATTGCCAACTACCTACATTGTACATTTAAAATTCTCGTTTGGTTTCTCTCATTTCTAGCTTTCTTCCTTTTGTTAAAAAGGATCATTTCAATTTTGTATATTTTATAGTGGTTATTTATTGCAATAAACAGTTATAAAAATTCATTCTATGAAAATGTGACCCGTTTCAAAAAATGAAAATTTGTATTTTTATACTATATATGCCTTCTTTATACGACAACACATATATGTATGTTTATAAAAACCCGTACACCTTAAATAAGTCTTTCTGCAAAGGATACGTTACCTGTATAATTTTTTTTGTTTTGGATTTTTAAATTTCATTCAATCAGAACGAGATTCTTATCATGGATATTTGCTACCATTTTTTTTTTTTATTTTTCTAACATACCGTTTTATTTTTATTAGAAACGTGTAATAATAAATTTTTGTATCTTATATTATATGAAAAGAATGTGTGCATGTTTGCAAAAGATTATTTTTAAGGTTTCTTTTCATTATTACAATTTTAGATTTTGGTATTTTGCTTTCATTGATAAAATTAAACTTAAAGTTTGTGTGAATTTGAAATTTGTTTATTAGATTTTAATAAGTTTTTAATTTATCAAGTGAAAAAAATTGTTCATCGTTCTGTTTCATTTCTCTTAAGTGTATCGTTTTTTTTTTTTGTTGTGTACTAAGACACTATTAGCACTAATAGCGATATATTAAGTGCCTTAGCATACAACCTGACAAATCGAACACCCTTTTATCTAGGTTCTGCCGAGCCATAGATGGCTGCGGCGTTCAAGATGGTAATATTTTTGCCCATATCTCTCTTCAGTAATCTACAATTTACAAAGTGTCAAAATTGAGACGCAGTATATCGGCACGCAAAAGGAAAAAGGCTATTTTTGTTAAGCCCAACTTAAATCAGATTTAAAATTTTCCTTTATAATTATTGAAAAAAAATTCACAGAATTATTAAATTTTAAACAATAAAAAATAAGAATTAAAAACGCGTACCATTGTAAAAAAAATCATATTAAAAGTTTTGCAAATTCTTGGATAAATTTAATAAATATTTTAATAATTCTGTTTAATTTAATATTATCGATGATAATATTTTGTCTGCACTTTATGTTAATTTATACACTATTTATTTTTAAACAATTTGTTTCTATGTACATACGAATATACATAATCGAATAAATAGTGATAATAATATCTTTCTATCATCAGAATAATAAAACATTGTGTTGTGTGTCGCTTTAAATAACACTTTAAAAACAAGAAACAAACATAAAACAAATAAAAAATATTTATTGAAATTCTAGTGAAAATAAGTTTATGCTACACTAATAACCTACTTAGATAAAAATAAATATTATTTATTATATTATGTACATAATATAATATTGTATTTTGTACATGTGTACATATTTTTTTGTATGAAAATACTCATTAAAAAATGAAATTTTCAAAAATTAGCTCTAAATATTTATGACAATTTACTGTCTATAATTCTGAAATAACCACAAAATATATTGAGTTAAAATTTATTTTGTTTTGATTTGCTTTTTTTAAGAACATGACTGACATGACATTATTGCATGTTTTAAATATTTATTGAATTCTTATTTATTCTATATTAAAATTAAAATCTTTCATCTATTTGTAAATTCAAATATAATATACACATGTATGTACATAGTATGTATATATTTCAATATTATTATTTTTATTTAGTATTAAAATATACATAAGTACAATGAAAAAATTTGAAATATTAGAAGCGGTATAAGTGATTTGATGACATGATGTTTTTTTTTTTTGCCTAAGGGGACCGAAGCCCTTAAAAAGAGTTGAATTATAAGATCTTTTGTGACTCTCATCCGCACCTATATTAGCACTATATCCAGGCCCCTGACAACTACAGTAATACAACCGCCCAAGCCGCGAATAATATTGTTTTCAAATTCATAATCAATTATTTTTAATGATATTAAATCTAGATAATGATCTAGAAAGTCTAGATAATACAATCAACTACATCGTATATTTTTATTTTCTGGTTATATCTATAAATTTAAAGTCTTATGAACCTTTAAATAGGTAAATTAACAAAAAACACGGCCATTCTAAAATGGAACTATCATCAATATGAATTGTTCGACAATTCTATTTCAACTATTGAATAAAGTAAATTCCAGATTAACTTGAATTTATGTGAAGGCTAATGAAGTGATGTATGTATTTAGCGATAAAGAAGAACAGAAAGAGATATTTTGTGCTTGTCACTTTAATACTCCTTTATAAAAATAATTACTAACACTATTTTTTTTATATTACTTTTATATAGAAATTTTTTGAATTACAATATTTACATGTTATTTTATTTCCATTTTATAAATGAAAATAATTTAATTTTGAATGAAAAATATATGAAATTTTTGATGAAAACCTTTTTAATTTTTATTTTTTTGAATAATTTTCATGTTTTTTGTTGATTTTTGTTGCTATTTTTCATAATTTTAAATAGTCACAAAATATTAATAAATTAAAATATAAATAAAAATATTAAAAAAGTTTTTTTTCTACTAAGTGGAGCAGAAAATCCACTGTTGATCGTTTATTTTTTATTTTTTTTTTTGTGAAATAACTACAAGGTTAAACAAATAATAATTAAATTTAAAAATATTACAATTATTTTATTTGTATTTCAAAATATTTTTTTACATAATATTCGCTTAATTATTGTTAACAATTTTAATAAATATAAAATTTATTATATAATGTACAAAACTCACACCACATAATTGCGTGTGCTTAAACAAATATACATACAAAAATATTTTATGCATTTTAATTCAAAAATTATTGAAAGCATTTAAAAAAATTTTCATGGAGCTTTAATTAGTTTTTCCTTTGAATACATTTAAATAGTTAGTGTAGTTTAAGGTAGCATCCTTGTATTCCTATATTTCAAAATAATTTTATAAATAAAATTATGTTTCAAAGAATTTTATTAATATAATCACAACTAGGTGTGAATAATGTGATTCGAATTTGAAAATTTTCAGTTTAAAAGTTCAAAAACAATAAGAGGCACTATATCGAATATGAGTACACAGAAGTAAAATTTTATCAAAAATTAATATTTATTTGATTTTAGATTTAATTTTGATCTTGAAGTAAATTAAATTCTTAGGTGGAAATATTTAGTCGATTCTTTCATCCTTCACAATGTTAAATAACAAAGTTGTGTATTATTCATATTAAACTTCTTCATGCTAAAATTTTAACTACAAAGGTTTTTAAATAGCTTTCATCGAATTGATTTTGACAAATAAAGTGATTAAAATTCGTATACAAAAGAGGAGATTTATAAATATAAAAACTATTTTCGAATTACAAATAATTTTTTAATTAACCCATTATTGTTTAATTATACATAATTCAATTAATCCAGTTTCATATTTTTTTTTATTTTCAGAGCACAGTTTCATTGTCTTTTCTTTATCATATGCATCACTCAATGTTTAGCTGAAACTAAATGGGTATGGGATCGAAACTATAATTCAGATCCATTTATAACACGTAGGAATGATTACAAAAGAGAATCATTACCTTATAGATATCCAGAATATTTGCAATATGATCGTGATCGTATAAGAGAATTAGAAAGAATTCGAGATTTAGAAAGGCAGCGTGAACGTGATCGTGAGCGACATCGTGATCGTGAACCAATTACAGTTCGCCCATACACAAGACCAAATGGGCAAGAAGATTTTGATGAATATGATATCGATGATCAAAAATATAATTATGATCAATATAGACCAGATTTTACATCAAGACCATATCCTTTACCACCACGTCCCTTACCACCAACCCAAAATTTCCGTCCAAATACTCAGGGTGGTGTGTTGATAGGACCAGGTGGTCCAAGTGGTATTTTTAGCCGACCAAATGGTTTCATCGGAGCTGGAGCAAATAGACTACCACTAACAAATGGACTTCCAAATCCAAATGATCTAAGACCAAATCCAGCTAACGGTGTGCTTGTGGGTCCTGGTGGCCCAACGGGAGTTATTGGTAGACCCCAATTTGGAAATGGTGGCATCGGTACCGGTTATCCTGCTATTCCTCCGAATGGTCCCGGTTCAAATTCATATGGGCCACAGGTGTTCCCACCATTACCTCAAGGCATAAACCCGGGAAGTTTGAGCGGTATTCGACCACCAATAGCAGGGCCAGGGGCTGGCAATCCTGGAGCTTTGTATCCCAACCAAGGGCAAGGATTGTATCCAGGAAATAGTATCTATGGTTACCCAGCTGGATCAAATAGTGGTATAGGTGGTATCGGAGTTTATGGTAATGGTAATTTATATCCAGGGCAGTATACTACTGGTGCCATTCAGCAGCAACAACAACAAGGCCAATATGGATTCTATCCATCACAATATTATCCTACAGGCCTATATGGTCAAAATAGTGCGGGAAATAGATTACCGTATCCTTATCCGTACAACAATGAAATAGGTAACGACAATAACAATAGTAATAATAACGGATATTATGCACCAGGTTATGATGAATTTGGAAGAAGTGCTAACAGTGCTAGTAATACCAAAGATAAGGACAAAGATAGTATAAAATTCGAAGATAGAAAAGTTAAAAAGTCAATCGATGATAAATTGGCTGAAATTTAATTAAATTCATTTATTTTTTTATATGCGAACTCTTTAAAAATTAATTTTAAGATATTAAAATTTAATACATTAGCTCGAATACCAGAATGTATGAATGTGATTGTACTGATTTATAATATTTCTTTTATATAATATAATAAATTTAGTAATAAAAATAGGAGAATAATTTCGAGGAAAACTTACCTATCGTAGTTATCACAATTATTGAATAAAATAGTGCGCCATGAAACGTCCATTGTAATTGATTTTCATCTTCATTTCCATCCCAGCCTTGAGTTTTCATAGCGCTCAAAATTTCAGTTTCAAAAAACTGTAAAATCAAAATCGGACATAAATTTTGTATTTAGATAAATTTAAATTTGATAAGTTAGGTTATCTTACCGCCAATCTCTTTTCAACTTCACTAGTCCAATTTTCTAAACGAAGATAATCTTGTTTATCAGTGAGATCCCATATAAAATCTGAAACATTTTTGCGAATTTTTCTAATACCACGTTTTACCTGTTCGAATATTAAAGTTTTGCAGTTTTATTTTGAATTAAATTTTTGGAGTATTTAAAATTAAAATGACATACATACTTCGTAAAAATTTTACATTAAAATGTTGATCAACTTGCAACATAATAAGTGTTTTAAGATGTATGAACAATATTTAGTGAAAAATGCGTATGTATGTAGATACATTAAAATTTTAAGTATAAATTACAAAAAATTATATTAAATTATGTGTTTTAATATCCACAAAATAAGAAACTCGCTAACCAGAAAAGCAAGAAATACTTAAAAATATGGTAAATTCTTAAACGTCAAATTTTACAAAATCTGAGTTGTCTGAGTTTACGGATACTCTACTACGTTTTTACTCTCAGTCAAAGTTTAAATTCTTAAACGTTTAAAAAAAGTCAATTAAGCGTCAAAATTGTAGATTTTTTTTTTTACATGCAGACAGTCTGACGTAGTAATTCAGTAAATAAATTTGATGTATTGAGTGACTATCATTACGTTAAAAATAATATAAAAAATATTTTTTTTCTTAATTTTTAATATGTAAGTATAAAATTATTTTAAATCTAAAAAAATTTTTTTTTTTGTTTTGACGTTTACGGATGATCAAAATTCAAAGTCAATTACGGGTAAAAAGTTTACTAGATTTCTGTCCGTAAAAGTTTTAGTTTCAGACAGTTTGCAGACTAAAATCAAAATTTTGACGTTAAAGAATTTGCGGATACACTTATAGAAAATTGTTTTTTACCTCAATTTCGTTTTCAGCTTCCAATTTTTCAAATAGTGCTGCACCACCGACACAATAAGCCACCACTAATGATATTAATGTTACATGTGATAAAATACAAACTGTGAAAGATGATAAAAATTTCCAAAAAACGCATATTGCCGCCAAACAACGACCACGTCGTCTTTCTGGATACCCTGATGGCGGAGGCATTGAATGTTCACGACGCGACATTTTCTGTTAATGTTTTTTATTAATGCACTTTAGATTTTCGTTGTACGTTTCTTAATATAGAAATGTTTTCAAAATTTTCAAAATTAATACTTCTTTTTATATATCTCATTAATTTTTTTATTTAAATTTTAAATGCTGCAATAATTTTTTTATTTTTTATACTTCTTGCAATCTTTTATTAGTAGATTATTGTGAATAAATTTATATAATTCTTCCATGACTACAACAAAATTCCAAGAGTGCTTCAAAGTTCTGTAAAGAAAATCAATAGGCTACATTTAAAATACATAATTATATTTACATTAAAAAGTCTATATTGCTTATTTTCATATTGTTATTTGAAATATTACGATTTATAGGAAAAAAGTTTTTTATACATAAATGGGAATCATAGATAATACAGCCATTCAAGATGGAAGTTAACATTAAAAAACCCTTTGATTTTTTTCCCCGCTTTTTTTTAATTAAAAGTAATTTTTAAATAAATTATTTATCATTTCCAATATGCTCTTAAGCTTCTTAACCGGTAATGATTGTATCTCTTTATTCCATTAATAAAAATATTTTTTATTTAATTTTATTGGGCTCTTCTATATTGTCATTCAATATATTTTATAATATCAAATAATTCATTACCGAATATTGAAAAAGTGCACATATTATATTGGGGTCTTTGCTTTATGTATGCAATTATTCATCATTTTTTTTAAAGTTGACATTGTTATAAAATGTAAATTGGTATGTTATACAAAAAACGTTCTGATAATCTTTTTTTTTGTGTTTAAATTATCAGAATATGTTTTAAAAAATGTATTGTGATAGACGAACTAAATATAGAATAGTAAAGAAAGATATAGGGTTACCATAATTATATCGTTCATTAAAAAAATTCCAAAAATATGTCTTAATAGCAAAAATTTTTCTTTGTTCAATTTTTTTTACAAAATAGGAATGAAAATATAACCTTTATAATTATAAAAATTATGTTTAATATGACGGTGTATTATTATATTACGCTTTGAATTGGATGTTGAGGTGTAAAAAATATCAAAAATAAAATTCAATAAAATAAGAAATGGATATTTTTCGAATTTTAAAATAATTATTTCTTTGTTTCATTATTATTATTAGTGTAATTGTAATGCATTATTATAAAAAACAATAATTAAGCATCATTTTAACTTTTTAATATTAAAAAACAAAAATAGTAATGATAATGATGTTAATGAATAACAAAAAAAAACTTCAAATAACAAAAATAAAAATACCCTCTCGAATACATCCTTTTTCAATTAACTTAATATCCTTGTATTTTCACTATTAACAAAAATCCAAAGAAAAAAAAAACAGAAAGCAATTTTTTACCTAAAACATTTATTTACACGCAACATAATATTTTTTATACACACATGTTCTTATGTACACTAAATACGCAACACACATATAATTATGTATTGTCCTTGGATAAATTTTCATTAACTTGTTACATTGTTTCGACACAAAGCAAATGAACAAAGAAAAAAACAAAACGTAGCCGAAAAACAAAAGTGAAAAATAATATTTAATTTTACATTCCCAATTGCTATTTTTTTATTTATTTTCATTTTCCCATTTCTGGCTTGAAATGCTAATTAATTTAATTATTGAAAAGTTATTAAAGTTTATTGGTAAATAATTATGATTTTATTAATTTTACACCAAAAAATTATAGTCATTTAAAAAGTCGAAATCCTTTGATAACTGAGAATCTTTCAAAGATTGCAAATTAAGTATTGATATACTTAAAATCGTAATTAAGTGAAAAATAAAAATAGATTTAAGTATAAAATTATTAACGTATGTAGTTTGGGTTTTTGTTTATTTAAAAAAAGAAGGGATCATATTAATTACAAATAAATAGGTTTTACAATCATTCAACTATAAATTGTAGCGAGGTTTGGTTACAAAACTCTTATCTCGCATAGATTACCCCAACTCAAAATTTTTGAAATTTGTTATAATATAACGTCTCTTTCCATTTCAAAATTTCTATTATGTTTTTATATTCAAATTTTGAACAATTTGTTAAAAAAACTTTAGTAGAAGATTAAGTCAGAAAATTTTCCTGTTTGATAGAAAATTACAAAAACTATAGAACCGGTGAATGGAAATGAATAGGATTTATTTGCAAATTTGTACAATTTCATTATGAAAATTTTCATAAATTAGATGTAAAAATACAACACTTCAACTTTGAAAATTAATAAATAAAATAATTGTAATTATTGTTAAAATACATACATACGCACCTATTTTCACTAAATTATTTGAACAAAAATGTCGATTTGTGATATTTAAAGTGAAGGAAATAAAATAAAGTAAATAAAAATAAATATTCAATATACAAATCAACCTGTTGACCACATTAAATATTTATTTAAATTGTAATTTTCTTTAAGGTTGTTAAGTTTAAGTTATTTGGTTTTTTGCTGATTGATATAGAACAAGGCTACCATTCTGCCTTTACATATTTATTGAAATTTATAAAATTGTGAAAACATACACAAAACGTAATATAAAATATAAAATGAGGTAGCAATTAGAATAAAGTATTTAAAAACAGCATAATTTAATTTAATGAAATATACGAATTCTTAAACGTCAACTTTGCAAAATTTTAAGTTTGCAAATAAGTAACATTAGTATGTTATATAATATATGTATGTATAAATAACATTTGTATGTTGAACATGACATAATATTTTCTTTGAAAACATGTTATACGAACGTAACCTTACTAAAATGTTCCGAATGAAGAAAAGGTGATAAAAATATTGAAAATTTAAATTTTGCAATATGTGAGCACAGATCGCCCCCTTAAACTAGTTACATCAAAATTATTTAGTATTGTTTCAATTGAAAGAAAAATAACCAATTTTTGTTTGTCAACCAGCACTGAACGTCTTTCATGATATTATCAAACAAAAAGTATAGAATAGATGTTATGCACCATTCATAAAATTTCCAAATCATTTTCTATAAAAATTTTTAGAACAAAACAGACTGAGAGTCTTATAAATATTTTAAATTATTTTACGTATACTCTTATTTAAGACCATATTTATGTCAAATTTTATTTAAATTTATCTCTTGCTCATATGGAATATGTTGCGTAAAGAAATGATGTGCAATAAATTTAATGATTTTTGTTGAAAATTTAAGATTAAAATTAAAATTTATTTCATATTCACACTATATGAATATGTTGTTGAACATTTATTTTTACAAAATAAATGATTGTTAAGTGAATTGTTTTTTTGAACTTAAGTCATTCATACATTATGTAAGTTTGAAGCCGTATATACATACATACTTATGAACAAATTTATTAAATGACTGTTTGTTTAAGAAAAGATAAAAGAAAAACTCAGTATAATTTTTAAAAGTATGAGATCACCATGGATTTCGTTTTATGTCTCAAAAATAAATTTTTTATTTCACCTCCCTAATTATGTACGTATGTATGCTAGTACAATATTAGATTGTCACTTAATTTTTAAGAATTTATATAGATATGGTAACTAAATTATAGAAAAGACGAAGCTTTTTTATATTCCTTAAAGATTCAAGATCAAAATCGAAGAGAAGAGAAAAAGACAATGACACCTTAGATATGTATAAAACGTTTCAGATTTTCAAGTAATGTAGATTTACCAGGCATTAAAAGAGGTTTTAAACTATTGTGCTACAATAATTAATTATTTTAAAAAATTTAATTTTTTGCATTGCTTAATATTGTCCTTCGAAAATTCTCTTACATAATCTCCTCTTTGGAATAATGTTCATTAATTAATTAATCTTTATTTAATTTTGTTTACAAGTTTTAATGATTTAATGATGAATTTTGCAGTTTTCTCTATATTTTTCGTATTTTGTTAATTAATGTTCTCTTGTGTTAATTGTAAATGTTTTTAAAAAAAAAAACTAATTTTATCTTTTTTAATATTGTAACAACCTCCTTTAATGAATGAAATTTATTCAATTCAGGAATACAAAAAAAAAAATGATTTTCTTGAATTTTTTTCTTTAAAACCATCAATTCAAAGAAAATCCTCGTCAGTGAAAAATTTAATGATTATTAAGCATTATACAAACTATATATTCTTCCTTATATTTTGCACTTGTTATTAATTATAATCACATGCAAATTTCTTCACTTTGAATAATCTACTGTGATGCAAAATATCCATACTTAATTAACAAGTTTTTATACACATCGCCAAAATATCTTCATCGAACGTAATAAATTACGAATTGCAAGCTAAAAAATGCTTTAATGAACATTAATAAATTAAAATTTATTTAATAAAATAAGCACAACATACCGAAGTTATACGTATGCAATTTGATTTTAAATTCCGTTATGTATTATACTTTTTCAGGACTCTTCACAATAATTTGATGAGCAAAACATTAATAATTAAAAAAAAAATTACGGAGGCTTTAACGGAGTAGTAATATAAAAACGAATGTTTATTTGAGTATTCAAGTCCGATTGTTAAGAAATCGTAGGGAAGCGGATATGCAAAGTGATCATCTTCTACTATCGGCTGGCTTAAAGCTTAAACCATTTAGCAACTGAAGTTTCAAGTGAATTTGTACGCAGAATTCAGGATGGGCTAACATAAAACAATAATACAAACAATATACCAGAAATACTCAGACAATAATACCACACTCCTGGAGAAAGGGTACAATAACAAAATTATCAAAGAAAGGAGGTGCAACAGATTGCAAGAATTGGTGTTGTATCACCATCCAGACCATAAAACATAGTAATAGATCATAGAATTATATTGGGTAGAACGACTTTCGGGAGAATTTGAGCAACATGAAGGTCCCCATACCTGGTGAGAAGCGCAAAAATAAGAATCTGCCACGTCAAGCAACCAACCAACCTTAAACTTTAAAAATATTGGTATTATTTAACATTATTTTATTTTATAAAACGAACATACATATGTAAATATGTAATTATATAAAAAACTGACATGATTTACAAATTTATTTCAAAATTAAATCTACAGGTTACAATTACATACCTAAACATACTTGTTATCCTTTTGTTCTCTTCCTAAATAGGATTGTAATAAATAGACTTATTGTATATTATGTAGAAGAAAAAATCTATGCCAAGTTATTCATTCCCAACAGGTGAAAACTTTTTTACACTATTAATGTAGCATTTATAATAAGTTATGCGCGTAAAAAAT